GTTCCAGGGGATCCAGTTCCCTGTCCTGGGCTCCTTATGCATCCCACTCACTTAGTGGGTTTACTGACATGCCCAAAAGACACCCATACATTCAATAGTGTGTAAAGAGACTTGTTGGGTCCAATCTCATAATGGGGTTGCCTGGATGGTCCACCAATGGCTGTCTGCATGCTAGAGGAGCAGAGAGCCCGGGAGCTGCTCAGTCCGTGAAACTGGGTGCCTCAGCAGTCCCAATCCAAAGCTGCCAGTCTTCGGTCCACATTGGAAGGTTGAGGAAGCCGGAGCCTGATGTCACTGGAAGGTGGCAGCAGCAGAAACATACCCTCCTCTCTCAGGAAGACGCAAAAACAGTCAAGCAACATCTATTTTTTTTCCCTTGGACTATCTGGGCTGCCCTGCTGGAGTGCCAACAACTCAGAGGTGTGTGTCTCAGGTCAATTCTGAATCCCATCAAGTTGACAATTAACACATACTTAACTACATTAAGCATGATTGTGTGTGTGTGTGTGTGAGAGAGAGAGAGAGAGAGAGAGAGAGAGAGAGAGAGAGAGAGCTGGAATGTGCTGATAGGGCTTAAACCCAGTGTCAAGAGTGTGTAAGACAAGCCTACTACCACCAATTGACATTGCCAGCACACAAAAGTATTGTGAGCAGATATGGATTCCAGCACAGCCACACTCTGGAATACTGTTCTTGCAGCTTAAACCCACTTTGAATGCACCAAAGAAATAAGAAAGGATTCCAGGGTTGGTATAGAGATAGCATGTTGGTTAAACTTTGTCAACTTGGCATAAACTAGAGTCACCTATACTTGTAACCAGTAGATGCTATGGTCCTTGCAGAAGTTTGAAGTCACAATGTTTCTGCCACAGAAACACCAAATGAGCATGTGTCCTGGGAATAGTCAGTGTGACCATGTGGCCTGTCCATCTGATTCACTCCTGACCTGAGTGGCAGCCAAGCTCCAGGACCCAAGAAGGGATTCCAAGAATGTGTGCAGATCCTTCCATTCAGCTTGTTTCCATCTTTGCCTGGAGTGCAGGACCTCTGGGAGCCTAAAGGAGCACCCAGTCAGCCTGTGCGTGAAAGTCTCATTAAGGCCCCCTGGGGAGCCAAACAGCTGGAGAGCCCAAAGACCTTCTGGGACCAAGATTGCACCAGGGACAGAACTGAGAGAAAATGAGCCCCACATACGTGTGTGTAACCTGAAGAGAGCTCTCAGCCAGCTGCACCTCAGTTTCCTTAGTGTGTGGAGAGCCCAGAGGACCTACCTGTCCATAGGGTTGTGCTAAGGAGTAATTGGATGGACATTTTTAGGTGCTTGGAAAGAGACCTGGTACAGAGAAACCACGGGGCTATGCGAGCCAGCTGGTAAACCTGGCTGCGCTGAAGTCTGGAGCCGCAGGGATGTGTTGATAAAGGATGTGATTCAAAGAGCCTAGGCCAGGAAGAAGACCCTACTGATGCTGCCTGATTCAAGCTGAGCTTCAGAAGGGAGAAGGAAGCTGCAGGCTCCCAGGACCTGCCATGTCCTGCGTGTCAGAGGAGGCAGGCAGGAGAGGGGCCCTGGCCTTCCTGCCACACGCTTAGCTGTCTTATTCAGTGTAAGTTGTAGTCTTCAGTTTGTAGGTTTGGTTTTTTTCTCTCATCTCAGAGCAGTTATGTGTTGGGATGAGGTGGAGAACGAGGAGGGAATGGAGACACATAGGAAGAAACATTTATTGAAACGCCATTTCCCAC